AAACCTCTTTCACATAATTTCGAAAAATAAAAACTTTATATATATTGAATATATATTTTGTATGTAAGTAACCAAATTAGTTTAAAAGACCCATGCCAATTAAAAAGTTATATACTTAAATAAATTATAAAAATTATGTATATTAAAATCTAAGCTCATTTATAGAATAATTTTTGAAAAGTATTTATATTACTTATTAACTTACTGTTGGATCAGAGCATCTTGCACATTTGCAGGTAAAAGTTTTCTTCATTTTTAGAAACAAATGTCTTGCGATATTTCCTGTGAATAGTTTTGTGTAAGTTGTTGTAATCTCAGTTCCGGCTGGTATGTCCACCGAAGCACGTGCGGTCATTATATTAGTTTTCTCCTCGAAAGTATAATACGAATTTGGTACACAATCATGATTCATAACAGCAAAGAGTGGAAACAGAGCACGATAGAAAAATTCCTGATTGTCATTTGTGCGCTCAGAGGTCTCATCAAAACCATTTGTACGCAAAACAGCCACTGTGCGATTCATAATTTCGAATATTTTCTTATCATTTGGAAAGTTCTTGAAACATTTTGCTCCATTGCGTACCTCTGTACGATGGTTATTGTCCAAATTAGCTTGCAAACAATAAATAAGATCACGTTGATCCTTGGTGAGATTTATGGCGCGCGCCACACACAATAAACGTATAACAACGGAATTAGCCACGTCTGGTTCATTGGGTCCCCATGATTTGAGAAGATCACAATCAGCTTTGTGTTCTTTCTTCTTACCACACAATGCACATATAGGCAAGGAGCAACCCTGACGGCACATAAATTTCGTATCGGGCAACATTTTAAAACACATCGTACACATATTCAACGTGTCCTCTTTACGCGCCGCAGGACCAATTATCAATGGCATATCGCGAAAAATGATTTCACCGCGTTTTAGATCGCGTGTTGCGAAAACACCACGGCCTGCAATTTTCGAAACACCAACTTCCCATGCAGGATCTTTATCTTTAAATGGTGCCAAATGCAGGTCTATTAATTCGGACGTACGCTTAGGACAAATCATTTTCAACTATTTAATTAATTATATTTATTCAAGGCAATTTTTTATTAAATAGTTTTGTGAGCACAAATATCCTTTTTCTTGAATGGTTAATTTCAGTTCACTATATTATATTCTAAAATATATATACACTTCTCGATCTTCAAATGTTGATTTTACTCGAAAGGCTGCCAAATACAAACTGTCGCAGTTTTCCAGTCGTTGGTGCTTATATTTAAAATTTAGTCAAATTTTCTGTAAATTTCGCTTACTTTATCTCAGATATAAATGGCATCACATTGTGAGAGTGTGAGCATCATTAACACGATCATCATTATTAATTTGGTTGATACATAATAATTTTAATTAAAAACTGCGAAGAGTAAGATTTGCATTTAATTAGCACAAAAAATGTACGATTGGGTAATTGGTACCTAAAATTAGTCTTAACGAAAGTATTTATTCACCACTACCAGTTATTATTTAAAAAATTTAATGGTTTATACCTTAATAAAAAAATATTCCATTTAATATTTAAAAATATATAATCTCAAGTTTATAGAGGAATAGTGATTGGCACTCGTATTCGATACTAATAAGGTTTCGTTAAATCTAATCGATTTTTGTGAAATGTAGTAATACCAACCAAACTATAATTAAGGTTTTTTTTAAGAACATATTATTATAAGATTATTATCTGTTTGATCTGATCATGGGAGTCCCCCGAGATTACCCTATTTCTTTAAGTTTCCAACATAGCTTAACACCATTATTAAGAGAGTTACTTTAGCTCAAAAAAAACATAAAATAATATAATACACAAAAGCATTATATTAATATCAATATTATAATAAATCCACACATTTTAAAACGTTAATCTTGTTCTTCTTTTATCTTATAGTGTTAACATACAACTCTCGAGTCAAAGAACTTTTTTTAGAATTCCTCTTAATGTCGATCGATTCAGCGTTTTGTTTTTACTGTTATGATCTTTAATATCAGTTAATTGTAGATTTATTAATTTGCATTTTTTTCTTTTTGATTTTATTGGACCATTATATTAAATGGTATTCTATAACACTTTTGCGCTTTTAGTCTTCCAAAAGTTTGACTTAAAAACATTGGAAACTAATATAATTTAGATGTTTATACCCCAAATTAAGGTCTAGTCATTACCAAATTCGTGTTGAAAAGGGTTTTATATACAACAACGATGTGGATAAAATATCTCCCATATATAGAAATATTATATATGTAAATATTTATATATCATACTATATACTATATAATAACTATATTCCATTATAAATGTAAATGTGTACATGGAATGGCAATGACAGTGATAGTGTTTTCGCAAGGAATCATACGTTATAAACTGCGAAGAGTTAGTCAAATAATTAATTATTGTCTCCTTATGAACCATTAACAAAACTAGATAAACAAATGGAGTTACTAACTTCAAACAAAATAGAAGATATATACCTACGATCATGCGATCTGCGATCTATCACCAAAACACACATATCTTCAATGAATTTGTAGAATTTATACAATGTTTTTTGAAAAAGGTTTGTATGTCCGTCATATAAACTGAATACCATAAAACTTTTAAACTACCCAATAATACATACAGAATATGTGTATATTGAGTATTTTGGAAATATTCGAATACGCACAACTATTCGAGTTTTTCAAAATTCAAACCTTTCAATCCTTACAATATTCCAATAGATACAATTATTGGGAGAATTTGTTCATATAGTTCCAATTTTTTTGATCTGTTTCTCATATCCGAAAATTCGAATTATTTGCAAAATTTCAAAAACTCCAAATACTTACAACTGTATAAGATACGTGTATTATCCTAATGTCATTATATCCATACACTATTAGAAGAGTTTTGAACCGAATACTGAATATTTGAAATCGCCTTAACACTAAATATTTTCACTCTCAAGCAATATCAAATAATATAAAAAAACAGATTTTGATATAAAATATATATGCGAAAAGAGACGCAGTGAAATGACTTCTCCCACACATAAAAATGCCTCACAGCGATCGTAAGTGTCAGTCTGTCCTACTCACAGGTGGCGTTTAACATAGTCGACACTGTAGCGCTATGCTCTTCGACCACTTATTAACCCATTTGCTCAGATGAGGAATGATGCGCTGGGACCAGTGTCAGTGGTGCCAGCGAGGGTATTTACAAGTGTTTGAAACGGAATTCCAATTTGAAAGATAAACAAATAGAATCGATGGGGTACGCACGCTTGGCGTTGCTGCTGGCAATCAGCCAAAATATGAAAATCTTAAAAACTGAGGAGTAAAAATTATTGAAAACAAATTGCAAATTGATGTGAGATCGTTGTTTGGATTGTGTTGATATTGCTGCATTTAATAACGATAATCACAGGGCCGATGACAGCGAAAATGGCAAATGAAATTTCAGCCAGTGGTGTCTGATATGAATCGAGGTAACAGCGGATTCACACGTCGAACTTGCAATGTGCCATGCCTGCTGGACGATGCATCATTGCATTGCATTTTTTCTAGATTCTTATGGTCGTTGCTCTTACCGCAGGTCTCAGGAGTGCTTTGACGCAAACATTTTTATATAATTTAATTTTTTTATTTTGCAAAAAGTATTTGTCTATGAACAAATTTTCGAATTTGTTAAAAATATTAATTTTTGACACTTTTTAGGCATGCTTGAGTAGAAATAATTTTTTTTTTGTTTGCTTTTACAGCACTAAAATTTAAAAATTATTTAATGAAATTAATTAAAAAAAATTAAAAGAAATAAAGTTTAATTAAAAATGTAATCGATGTTAAAAATTTGTAATTAAAATTCTAAAAATATATAAAACCAATTGATTAAACTCGTTTACACTAGTGTAAGTTTAACGAATTCTGAAACGTTCAAACCTGAAATGCTTTCAGTCCTAAAAGTATCTGAAGTAATCGAAATTGAACTCAAAAAGTATTTAATTTTTAAATAAAACCTCTAATAGACACAATGTATATTTGCCCATCAAATTTTCTACATTTTTTTTTATATATCAATATATATATAAAAAATATATACACAAAATATAATTTTGTGAACACTTTTTACAAACTCGGTTTGCCTACTAGAATCATCTTAAAATATTTGCAAGATTTAACCGTTGGCTTAGGAAGTAGGAGTATTTTATGGAGTCATATCCAGCATTTCAGAAGATAGTCTCATTGTATTCTACGGAATAACTACATACAAGAAGGACTAAATTAAACAAAAAGGGGATAACAAAAAAAAATACATAGTAGATCGTGTTGAAGATTGGTACACAAGCCATCAGGAGTACCAATATTGCTAAAGAAAAGAGTTTAAAAGATGTTAAAATCCATTTTGAACTTATTATTGAAAAAAAAAAATACTTTATCAATAATAAAAATATCTGAAACGCTTTTGAAGCTAATTTGTCTGTGCATTCTACAAGTAAACTTTTCCAAACCTTTTCATTAATTACCAATAAGATTAATCGGTTATTTATAATTAAATCATCAGATAGGGTGTCAATCAAATAAAAGATTTTCTTCCTTATTCATATGCTTATGAACCTTCTATAATGGATCTCCGACTTTGTAACATCCTCAGTAGATGCAAATATCTTGAAATAGAAGATTTATTGCGACTCTTTTATAGTTCATCTAAACTTAAAATTATAGTTCCAATAAGCTGTCTGATAGCAGAGTATAGTAGTGTTCTTTATTGAACTTCTGTTGAAACAGTTTCTTCTATAAGATTATCCGGTTATTTATAATTAAATCATCAGATAGGGTGTCAATCAAATAAAAGATTTTCTTCCTTATTCATATGCTTATGAACCTTCTATAATGGATCTCCGACTTTGTAACATCCTCAGTAGATGCAAATATCTTGAAATAGAAGATTTATTGCGACTCTTTTATAGTTCTTCTAAACTTAAAATTATAGTTCCAATAAGCTGTCTGATAGCAGAGTATAGTAGTGTTCTTTATTGAACTTCTGTTGAAACAGCTTCTATATGTAAGAATTTTTAGTAGAAGTAGAATTACCAAAGGTGAAATTAAGATTAAAGTAAAATTCTAGTAGAGTACTAGAATCATGGTTCACTTGGGAGATATGATCTTAATTTGAAGGTTAGACTTTTAAGCTACAATTTTTTATTTGTTCGATATCTAAAAAAATGCAGAGCATATTTTTTTACTCTTCTTCGATATTTGGTTATATTTTGTCAACAAGCGTAGTATATTTGAAGAGTACTGATAAAAAATCAATTTTAATTTAAAAAATTATACCACTAAGTACGCTATTTATATAAATTTTTTTCATGTATACATTTACGATAGCCATAATTTAATGCAAAATTAAATAAATAATTTATTTAAAAATGATTTCTTCTCATTTCTGTATCATCACACCAAAATCAAGCATATATTTTTCAATTAATATATTTTTTTCGCAGTTGATTCATGATCGAAAAAGAACTCACCTCAGAGTACTTGCAACAAAGCCCCTAGTGGGTGTATGCCTACAAGTTCATACCGCCCAGTCAAATCCAAATTAATGCCAAGTGTCATGTGCAAAAAATTTATAGAAAATTTTTCAAGAAATTGCATTAAAAAAATTTGAAATTACAAACAAAATTGTTTTGATTAATTCGCATGTTAAGTTTTTAATATATACGAGTATACCATATATAATATACAAAAAGATGTAAGATGAAATCAGCAGGAAACAATCAAAATTTTTACTTCAGAAATTACTAAAAATGAAACAAAGTAAAAAATATTGTAAACAAGCAAATTATTAAGAATTTTATTATGAAAAATAATAAATTTTTATTTAAAAATATAATATTCTTTTTAGCTTGTAAATATTTTTAAATTTTACAAATTAATTAAAATTATTAAGTAATTTAATTTTTATGAAAAATTTTACTAAAATAAGAGATATATGAGTTCAATGTTAATATTGTTTTAATAAATGCAAATAATAATAGAATTTTTAGATAATAATTTTTAAAACAGGAATTTTCAGTCGACTTCCTTTAACTACATCAGTTGTAACCTGCAGTCCTTCAACTTTACAAAGATAAAATAGAATGGGTAACATACACAGATCAATGCAGATACTTTAAAAAACTTCATTAAGACCACAGCATTAATAGTTTTTAACTTAA